CTCTTGTTAGTGGATGAAAATGGAAAAGAATTTAATATTCATGATGTAGGAAGTGAGAGGAAGAAATTAGTATCTTAAATTTTGAGTTTTGAGAAAGTTGAATTTTCTTGAGTGATTCTTGGAGGTTTATGATTTCTGAGTTTTAATGGAGGAAAGTGAAAACAAATTTGATATTTGAATTCTACGCGAAAAATAACACAGTTTTGGTTAAAGAAAATCAAGTTTTGGTGAAGAAATGATAAAGTGCCATTGTTGGCTAGAGGAAGAAGATGACCGGATCTCACCTCCGGCCACCAGCACCATCGTTCCCCACCGCGCCTGTATTTCCCTCCGTTTTTAATTTGAAAATTGCCAGACGCGTTTTTAGCCATCCAATCACGCACATAGGCGGACTCGGTAATCCCATCCCACGGTCCGAATTGCATTTCGCGATTGGCCTTCACCATGTGCACAAAACGCTGAGTTTTGAGAAACTCAGCTGGGCCGTTATGCTGTTCGCTAGTCGCACCCCCCGTTTCACAGCCCATTAGATTAACACGCGCATAAACTACTATCAGCACCCCTGGCCATTTCCCTTAATGCACAATGCTGAGTTTTGAAACTCAGCTGGGCCCAATCCCCTTCGCTGTCTGCACCCCCACGGCGAAAGGCCCACACGGAGTTGCATGTAGAAATTACTTCCTGCACCCTTTCTGTTCCACTTTTAATTTCATTTTTTTTTCTTTTTTTTTCTTATTATTACTTGTTTGTTTTAATTCATAGAAAAATAATAAATGAGCTCAATAAATCATGAGAAAAAATATTGTAGATAGTTTGACATGTCTATAATTTTGCCATATTTTTTAATTGCAATTTTAATTCTTTTTCCAATTAATTTTGTATTTTTCTTTTATGTGCTTTTCCATGAATAGAAATAATGCCATGTTAGTTTCTAGATTTTTGTTTCCATATCAATGCTTGGATTTAATCTCTGATTTTTTACATGATGAATGTTGACACATTGTAGGATATTGTAGGATTTTTCTTGCATTTTTTAGATGATTCTAAGTATGGTTTTGAGATAGGTTTTTAAGACTTCCCCCTTATGATTTCCTTTTAGCATACCTTGAAATGTAGAAATTGTTTAGGACTCTTAGACTTAGGTTTTGACCCTGAATTTTCTACTATGATTCCCTAACACATTTAGGACCATCTAGGATTTTCCTTAGGGTTTATAGAAGTGATCTTCTATTATTCCCCCATTTTACAAGTTAATTATGGTTTAGGTGACCCTAACTAGGCTTACTTCATAGATTAGTCTTTTAAGTGAACATTAGTTAACTCTAAGCTTCAAATCCTTTCTTGATAGAATAGAACTTAGGTAGATACCTCCCTAGAACATTGATTAGGCCTTGATAGAGCCTTTGAATCCCCTTAGTTTAGGTGATCCTTATAGCTAGTCATTAGGGTTTCTTAGAAGTTGTTGTGGTGTCTTCTTTCCCCCATGTAATTTCTTCCCTGGGCTTTGCCCTATCCTCTTTCCTTCAAGTCATGATAAAGATCTCTCTTGGGAGAGCCTAATCCTTCCCTTGGTTGGATTTTGTGCATTCCTCAGGAGGTTGAGCTTTGGATTGACATCCTTCAGTATAGTACATTCCATTGGTTTGCACTATCTTTTTCTTCAAGTCATGATGAAGATCTCTCTTGGGAGAGCCTAATCCTTCCCTTGGTTGGATTATGTGCATTCCTCAGGAGGTTGAGCTTTGGATTGACATCCTTCAGTATAGTACATTCCATTGATTTGCACTATCTTTTTCTTCAAGTCATGATGAAGATCTCTCTTGGGAGAGCCTAATCCTTTCCTTGGTTGGATTCTCTGCATTCCTCAGGAGGTTGAGCCTTGGATTGACATCCTTCAGTATAGTACATTCCTTTGGTCTGCACTATATTTCTCTTTCAAGTCTTGAAGAGGAGCCCTCTTGAGAGAGCCTAATCCTTCCCTTGGTTGGATTTTGTGCATTCCTCAAGAGGTTGAGCCTTGGATTGATATTCCTGGCATGGTATATTCCCTTGATTTATACTGTCATCCTTCTCTAAGTCCCTTTCTTAGGATCCCTCTTGGGAGAGCCTAATCCTTCCCTTGGTTGGATTCTGTGCACTCCTCAACAGGTTGAGCCTGAGATGGACATTCTGTGTTGATACACCTTTAACCAGATACCTTAGATTGATATCTAGGACTAAGACCCAGTCTTCTCTGTCCTATTGACATAGGATCCCTCTTGGGAGAGCCTAATCCTTCCCTTGGTTGGATTCTGAGCATTCCTCAAGAGGTTGAGCCCATGATGGACTCTTGTGTTGACACACATCCAACCTGATGTAACCTGGGATGACTTCCCTGTTGCTCATTTTGGTTTCATTTCTCTTCCTTATTTGACATTGCTTGATGCATTAGAATAGGTTCATGTATAGAATATTTTAGGCTAGTTGCATGACTGCATTAAGAGGTTGAGTGGGTCTCCCTTTGCTTGTTTGCATTAAGGGTTGAGGTGATCCTCCTCTTACTTGTGTGTTGTTTTTCTCTTTAGCTAATGTGTTTGCATTGAAAGGTTGAGCTGAGCTCCCTTTGCTCGTCTGTTTTGATTGTTTGTCTTTGCTTGATTGCTTAGAGGTTGAGTCTCTCCCTCTGCTTGTATTGTTGCATTGCATTTGCATCCTGGCTGTTTATCTCTTTATTTTATCTACTTTGATGATTCTTGCAGTTGTTTTCTGTTTACCATTGACATGATCCCCTAGGACTCTCACTTCCTTTGATAAGGAAGTGATGATAGAACTTTAGGTTGATACCTTTGCATGATAACGTCTAGGAGTTCCCTGTTTCAAACCTCAACCATAGGATGAATCCTTGGCATGACAACATTAGGGCTGGATAGTTTCTCTGTAGAGTTCGTTCTCTTCTCTCTCTAAAAGCAACAGTAAAAAACGTAATAAAGGCAAGTTGGTACGAGCGCGTTACGAGCCTTAAGCCACTTGGGAAATGATAATTGAGCGGTCTCCTCTCAATCGTCTAGAATGTTTAGTATACGTCCTTTGGACGATATGCGACGCATTCGTTCCTAAATTCATAGTCTCTAGAGTTGTACGGACTACAAACAACCATAAAAAACACTTCTTTCGTAAAAGACAGAAAACAAACTTCAAATCCCTTTTTGCCCCGTGGGCCCATAACTCGAGGAAAACTTTGCTGAAGAAAAGAGTGTCGTTAACTCGCAGTTCTACCGCAAACGGTAACGCACGAGCTCCGATGAGCAAGCTGCATACACCAAACTGCTGGAACTGTTTGTTAACCCTACTCAGAAAAACAGATGAATCTGAACCCCCATAATCCGTAGTATCCCGAACTACGTAAGCTCTGATCTCTCATATTTGTTGAGAGTACGTAGGCACAATACTGACGTATTGGCGATCCACCTTCCCCCATGCTTTCACCCGTAGTTAGCCGAACTACGTTGACTCTGATTTCTCGTTCTCTGACGAGAATACGTAGGCACGAAGCGCGGCGCTTTGGCGAGTCAGTTTTCTTTTCTTTTAAGCCAGCCCTGATAGGCAGATAGATAAAACCAACCCGTCAGATAAACACAACAAGCGTGGATCCCATCGAGTACGATGGACGTGAGGAGTGCTAATACTTTCCTCTTGCGTAACCAGCTCTCGAACCCAGACATTGGTTGCGATGACCTTGTCTTATACATTTTCGTCAGATTTTTCCGATCGTTTCCTTTCCCTTTCTGTGGGATAAATAACGAAAGGTGACGACTCTTCTGTTTTGCCGACACCTTATTTTCGCGATAGCGACACTTCTGATGCAGAATGTTTCATTAGCGTGAGACATTTGACACCACATCTTTACAACTTGTTTTGAGCACATAAATGCGTCTCAACAACATATCATAACATCTTACATAATATGTTAACTATGAAAATGTGTCAATCACTTATAACAATTATATTAGCAATTATATTAGAGAACTTTCTATTATAGAGATCCTTCCTTGTTGCTATCCATCCAAAATCACAGGCCAACTTAACAAAAGAATATTCGAAGGACCGAAAACACTTCCAAAGCTTGCAAATAGATAACAATTTGTTATCTTTCGATACAGCAACCTAGGTTGTTTTTAATAATAAAATTTGTCTGTAAAGTCATCGTTTTTAATCCAAATAAACTTATCATCTATGTTACATTGAATTTTTATGTTAATGAGGATATCTTCCAACTCTTTTGTAATCGCTTCCTCCCTGGAAAAAAAACATGTCGTCTCCACTTAAACTCTTTACTCCACCGGCCCATGTTCAATATTAGTGTCTTTATTGTCACTAATCTAATACAACCTAGGGTTACACAATACACATCCGCGATATCCCTTAAAGGCTTAAGCCTCGTCCAAATATGATTCAGTTGTCACCCCTACTCACAGGCATCACAGTTTTGCCCACGTGAACTATGTCTCTCAAATAAAGAGACTTTCTAAATCCACCTCCAGACACCGGAGGGTTTCCTGGAAACATGTTTCTGGTAATATGTTTCGATAGAAAATACCCTGTTAAAAACACCTTCCAACAGTATATTCTAACAGATTTAAGCATATTGGGAGAATACACTGTTAAAATACACTGTAATTATGCATGCAGCGTGCCATTGCTTACACTCTGCCTCTTACTGTAAAACACTATCACTATGTAAAAGTACAGACACGAAATATCACATTAACAAAGTCGAGAAACATTTACTAAATATTACATTGCTAATCCAAAATTTCAGATTACAGAATAGCTGTACTCACCAATAATTGTATAACAAGATCCCATTGGGTTTCTTTAAACATATGTATAGAATTTATTTATTTGTTCCTTATTGAATGATGACTATTGCCCATTAAATAGAAGAGGGCCCAAAAAGAGATATATCGAATTGAGCCAAGGGTAGGTTCATGTGATTATTCATAATTATAACTGTTCTATCTTCAATGACTTTCATCTAAAGTACCTACAAGGCATTTCTCCAGTAAGAATTCGGCGTTAACCCAAGCATGGTATTTATCTGTCAAAGGAATTAAGGGAAAGGCTGCAAGAAATTATTCAAGAATATAAATTATGTGAAGTTAGAATATAAACTTAAGAAGCAACTGAAATTTCAACTCCAATTTCTAAATAATGTATATTTGGGTCATCATTCCAGTTCCTCAGGTGAAAAATAACTGTGCATTTGGATGAGCAGTGAGTTTGAATTTTGTTGAAGTGTAGCTTCTGCATACATCGTGGTGGCTCACCATGATTTTGCCACTCTCACCGCAAATCCAAACGCATGCTAACACATGAGAAAACATGTAAGAAGCATTTATCAAGCTTAACTACCACACCAAATGCAATGCATGCACCACAGAGATCTTTTCAAAGGGAATGAAGAAACTAAAAGCTATAATTCCAATTAATGGTAACACTAAAAAATGAAGTAGGCTTACAAACTTTAATAAAACAGTAGGGAAATAACAAAAAGGATACTGAATAGAGATGTGCAATCTTTTCCCACAGTTTTCATCAACATATCAACACCTGATTTTTCACCAACCAAATGCATATATAATTTTAACAAACAGTAACAAGAATAATAAAATGTCATATATGAACATGATGATTGAGCTGATAACTGTACCTCCAGGGTGAAACTTCATATATGGTGATATATTGTAAACACGGCCTTTTAATACAGTCCACATTTCGCCTTCTAATTTGTGTTTTCTAACTTCATCCATCGATATAAGTCTCCTGTTTGACTGTCCTTTTAGACCTGGATCAACAGAGATGATGTTAACAAATAGCATATCACCTTTTATTCTTAAAAATATGTAATGACAAGAACTATTAAGTTCAAAGAAACAAGTGACCACCGAAAACTCAACATAAAAATACTATTTGCAAATAGCATCTTAAAAATAAAACAAACTTTCTTGTCAGACATGGAGTTCAGTTTAGTAAAAGAATTACTATAACTTGAAGTAGAAACAATTTGCACAAATGGACAAGAAAAATAAGATTATTTTACTTTCGACAGAATGTTAGCGTTGATTAGGAAGAATGGAGAAAAGCAGTTCCAATTTAGTGAAGGAGATTGAAACCAAAAGTAGGGGTAAACTCATAGGATCCCAAAGGAGAATATGGGCACAGAAGGTTTGTTAGCATGCATGTTGTCCAATTCCATCAGGTGGTCAATCTATGCTAGGAGGAATCAGATTGGGAATACTAACTTGGCAGGAAGTGAAGGAGCCTATGAATTGCATGATGAGTTCTACTATACTGGAATATGAGGGAATGTGAAGGGGTGTCTTTTGGAAAGCACTTGTGTTAGTTATGGAAAGAAAACATTATTCTCTTTAGTAGCTTGGCTCTGAGAGCAATTGCAGTTATCTTACACTTCCAAAAATAACCCGCTCATTGTTTTTCTATTACTGATCTGTTTTCTTCCATTAATTGTTTCTACAATCCAGGTTTGCATCAAAGACCACCCATTGATTGAAAGAGAAAAAAAATAATATGTATTAAAAACAGGCCCACAAGCTAAACAAGAAAAGGAAGAAAAAGAAAAGGAGTGTGATAGGAATGGATCGGATCCCACAAATGATGATGGGAATGTGTTAGTTAATAGAGATATTATTGGACCTAAACAATGGAGGGTATATGTGAGAAAGAATAGGAAACTCCACAAATAAATAGGAGTTAGTTTAGGTATTATTCTCCATATAAATAGGAGTTAGTTTAGGGATTATTCTCCATATAAAGAGGAGTGTATGGGGCAGTAGTTAGGCATTGATTGATTTTCTGTTTTTGACCTTAGGGTTTGGGCAGTGAGAGAATAGTTTCTCTGACTGAGGAGCAATAGCTCTGGAATTTATTTTACTTTCATATTAATTAATAAAATACTTTTCTTTATTATATACCTCTGTTCTATCAATTGGTCCGACCTACCATTGTTCATGCCCAAAGCTCCTAAGATGGCTGACCGTGTTTCTGCAGTGGAAGAAAGGTTGGAAGGTGTTGAGGCTAGCATTGCTGCGTTACGAGAGTTCATCGGTGCTGAGATTCAACGTGCAATGGCTCATCGTGCAGTGCCACAGCCATGCAGTGCGACAGTTGCCTCACCGCTGGATGAGTTTCGTTTATCTGCGAAGAAGGTGGAGTTGCCGGCATTTACCGGTGACGATCCGGTTGCATGGATCACTCGGGCAGAGACATACTTTGAGGTACAACGAATTTCGCAGGATGTTCGTATTCAGTTGACCAAATTGAGTATGGAAGGCCCTACTATCCATTGGTTTAACCTATGGCATGATTCAACAGAGGAAGTGTCATGGGAGAACCTCCGTGAGGCGATGATGGTTCGATTTGGAGGTGGGCGTTTGGAGAATCCGTTTGAGGAATTAAAGAAACTAAAACAATCGGGATCAGTAGAGGAATATATTGCTGAATTCGAACTGTATTCTTCACAGTGTGGTCGTTTACCAGAACAACAATTTCTAGGTTATTTCATTGGTGGTTTACGTCATGATATTCGTTCTCGTGTGCGTACCTTCAAGCCTCGCAACCGTTACCTAGCAATGCAATTGGCTCGTGATGTTGAAAGTGAATTTGCAGTGGCTTCTGGACAGGGTTCTGAAGCACGTTACAAACCGGGTCATGGTTCTTGGACAAAATCTCAAAAGCCTAATTGGGCTTTTCGCGAAGGGGAAGGGAACGGATCTGCAACTCAGACCCAACCTAATAATCCTTTGGGCCAAACGCGGACTGGTTCGGATTCTGGATCTCAAACCATCTCAACACGTCCTACCAATTCTACAGCATCTTCTCGCCCAAATTTAGGTGACAATTCACGCCGTCAATCTCGTGGTGTTCGCCATCTACCAAGTGCAGAGGTTAATGAGCGTCGTGCGAAAGGACTCTGTTTTCGTTGCAACGAACGATGGGATCCTCTCCATCAATGTGCAACAAGACAGTTACGAGTGATTATCTTGGGGGATGACGAAATTGTTAACGATGCAGGAGAGATTGTGGTGTTGGAGGCTGCGACGGAAGAAGAGCTCACACAAGAGGAATTAGAATGTAAAACCATGGGGCTGTTTGGTGTATCCACTAATCCAAATCAGGTCCGGAGGATGAAATTGGAGGGATGTTTACAAGGTGCATTAATTCTGGTACTTATTGACAGTGGAGCCACACATAATTTCATATCACCTAAGGTGGTTGAAGCCCTGGGATTGTCTATGGTGCCTTCTAATCCTTTGGGTGTTAAGTTAGGAGATGGTCATCGTGTCCTAACTAGGGGTAGATGCAATGGAATTCAAATGAAAGTGGGATCAGTGCAGATTTGCTTTGATGCTTATGTGTTGGAGTTAGGAGGTGTGGGTTTGATTTTAGGAGTTGTGTGGCTAGAAACTTTGGGGAAGGTGACCATGGATTGGAAAGAAATGTCTATGGAGTTCAACCATAAAGGCAGTATGGTGAAACTACTTGGTCAGGCTGTAGATGATAAGATGGCTACTTTCCAAAGCATTATCACTCCTTCTCGAATGATAGCAGGCTGTGAATGGCCTACCTTGATGGAGGTGTTAGGGTCACCGGTGTCGTGTGTCTCTGATCAACAGACTAAGGAGTTGGAAGGATTGCTGAAGAGTCAATTTCCTGATCTGCGCCTTGAGGACAAGGCTAATGTTGTAGGTGGGGGTGATGATAGGAATGGATCGGATCCCACAAATGATGATGGGAATGTGTTAGTTAATAGAGATATTATTGGACCTAAACAATGGAGGGTATATGTGAGAAAGAATAGGAAACTCCACAAATAAATAGGAGTTAGTTTAGGTATTATTCTCCATATAAATAGGAGTTAGTTTAGGGATTATTCTCCATATAAAGAGGAGTGTATGGGGCAGTAGTTAGGCATTGATTGATTTTCTGTTTTTGACCTTAGGGTTTGGGCAGTGAGAGAATAGTTTCTCTGACTGAGGAGCAATAGCTCTGGAATTTATTTTACTTTCATATTAATTAATAAAATACTTTTCTTTATTATATACCTCTGTTCTATCAGAGTGTGTACTAAGAGGAAGAAAAAAGCAGGAACAACTAAGAAATGAAAATCAGACAGAAAGAGACATGGCATCTGGCATCGTCGGTCCTGAGCACACCTATATATGTGTCATAACTAAGACAGATCATTGAATTCTAAAGGCCAAATTCGGTGTACAGAGTATAGATTATATAAAATACACAACACATAGCTTTTGTCAACCATTGGTATTGGCCATCAGCTTGGGTAATACTAGCATAAGGATTGAAAATTTGGACAGTAAGTGTGTGCAGAAACTGACAGCATAGTTTATATTCAAGTTTCAACTATAATAATCAACCAGCATCTATTCACTCTTTTAGATATTGTTGTCTTCCAAAACTCATAAGTAATGAGAAAATGTTATTATAAAAAAAGGGTCAACAGAATGACTGCACCTGCAAGATCGGGATGAGTTCGAGTAAGCTTGAGCCAGTCCATTTGACTATAACCCTTCTCAAAAGGAACTTTGGCTCGAACTGTTGGCTTTTTAAGAGAATTCTTTTGTTTTGGCAAATTCTTAGTATCACTTTGAGTTGAAGGAGTTGCAGTGCTGATTACACTGAAAGACAAAGAACCAACTGTTCCCTCCTTTTTAGAGTTGGAAGAATCATTGGCTAAACCATCCTTCCATAAGAAACCACCATTGTTGTGATTACTACTACTTGCATTTGAAGATTCTTCCTTTATGGAAATATCAGCAATATTTGAAACAAGCTCCTTAGTTTCCACTACGGGTGTACTGACCTACAGAGTCAGATTTCAAATTAGAAGGGTGCATAGTTATGGTTTGCGAATCGCAAGAGTTATAACCTTCAATTTTATTTCTCAAATATTATTGTCTCCTAGTTCCTCCATAGAGTACATAAAAATGATAAACAATTCAAAATAATATTAAAGGATTTAAAAAGACACATACAAAAAGTAGAGTAAATTAGTTTTATAGTAATATTCAATATCCAATTAAAATCTATTATTTTGCTACATCACCCATTTTTGTAGGCCTGTGTTTGGATACAATTCAACCCCACTTCCCTATGCAGGTTGCCGTGCCTTTGGAGAAGCTACAAATTGCAGCTTCGCCATTGACACATGCTACGGTTACTCACCACCAAAACAAAGTGTCTTGAAATTGATGGTACAACATGGAAAAACAGATGTCTCTCCTGATTAGTGTTATCAAATAGCGGCGCCATGGCCGCTACGGGGGATATACATGGCAGTTTTTGAACTCTCCGCAATAGTAAATATAGGCCGATATTGCGGGTTTACCCCCATAATCTGCTATAACAGCGCCACAAAGCGGCCGGTATGGCAGGATTTTGACTCTCCGCTATAGACCACCATCCACCACCAAAATATACTCATTAAACTCTATTAGTTTGTATAAGCATCTTAATTAAGAGCTTATACCTCTTATGATATAAGTGCTTATATGTATAAGAATTTTTTATATGAAAAGATAAAATCAAAATCAATTGTCTTCGTATAAACTATATACATGTCATAACATGTTTTCATAAGCTCTCCCAGAAAGTCTAACAAGTGCTTATGTTGATAAACAAGCTCAATAACTAAACCCAAGCAACACTATCAAATCCACCTAATTACAAGAACTATTCAAAAAGAAACTGATATTTAGGACAAAACTGAGAGTTCAATCTTCCTATTATACTGAATGAAATGAAAAAAAAAATATATTTATATATATAATTTCAGTGTTAAGAAAATTTACCTGACAAAAAGTGAAATCATTATCACTGTCCATTTCAAACCACACTGATGATTGCAGGCGGGCAGGATAGGAACAGGATCGGCGATTATGGTGGCGGAATCGGAGGATCTCCGGCGATCTATGAAGCACGCGATGGATTGAAAATATTGACTAGGGTTCCTTTTCTGTCGCTGAACTTATTCGCAAAATGTGATTTTATCAATCTTTGATGCGTGCGAAATTACGGTCTCTGCCGTGTAAATTTCGTTCTGCCGCGAACACATTGTGCTTTTTCCCTATAATTTATTCGAGTAAATTATCAAATTCAAGAATACTATGGGATTTAGGCTATGTTTGGATAAAAGTAACTTATTTAGCGTAGCCAAATGAAATAAAGACATAAAATAAAAATATTATTTTATTAGTTGGATATTTTATGATGAAAAAGAATAATTTTATGATTCCGTCCAAATTGGAAGTACAAAAAATGATAAAAAGTGATGGAATGAGATTAAATGCATTTCATCAAATTTGTTCTATTTTATCTATTTTTAATTAATTCAAACAACAAAATTTAAATTTATTTCATTTCATTCCATCAAATCTTATTCCATCAATTCAAATATATTGGATTAAATTTATTATCTAATTATCTAACTAATAAAAGATAAGTACCTGAAAATTCCAAATTAACCATTCTGATTACATGTCTAATTTTTTATTAATTTAGGGGTATTAAAGTCTAATTACATGTTTGCTTCAACCTTATTCATTTAGCATTTATGACAGTTGATGTGTCATTTTGTTATGCTTGTTGATTTTTTATCTTGACGGCTGATCAGAACCTGAAGTGGATCAGAGACAATCACCTGAAATGTTGGGTGTGAGAGAGGATGAGGGAGTGTACCTGCAAGACACTCCGATGCTAAAGTAAGAATCGGGAGAAAGAAGACGAGTACATAATATGTGTGTATCAGGGTGAATATTGAATACCCGACCCTCTCAAATGAGAGGGTTTTTATAGTGTCCCTGTTAACTCCCAAATTCGACACTGCCTTGGGTTGCTAAACTTTAAGACATAGTTAATGTCTAAGTAAAATGAAGCAAAGAGGTTTCGACAGCCTCTAAGGAGTTTTCTAAGCTGAACGGTTGAAATAACTTAGAATAATTAAGAAGCCTAAAGTTGTGAGCATTTCGACCGTGTCAGAGGTCATTCGACCGAAATTCCGCAAATGGCATTGCTACGTCGTTTTGAAATTCAAATATTGGAGGGAGGAGTTTTGTTCATAAGACACGTGGCGAGTTCTAGAGCAGGAAGTTACATGCAAATGACACTTGTTAGATCGAGGAGATACTAGGAAGTTATTAGCAATTAATTATTAGCATTATAAATAGGGATTTGTTAGGCAGATTTCTGGGGTGTTTTACCATTTGTACAAAGTAACTCCAATCAAATTTACTCAAAGTACCCGAGTGTGAGAAAAGAGTATTTTCACGGAGAATGTACGTTATGTAAAATCACCAACTTTTCAATAAAGTCTTTTACAATTTCAGCAACATTTACATTTCCTCTGTCGAACCACTTGTGCAAGTGTTACGTTTTGCCTTTACCTTTCCTGCATCCTTTACTCCAATTCCTTCTTCCCTTTAAACTTTTTACCCTTTTCGATCAGCCTTTTTACAAATCTTTTACAGCGTTTCTTTAAGTTTATGCACTTTAAAATACCCAGTCAAAGTCTTTTTCATTACAAGCACATTTACCAATTCGTTATCACAAGTACTTTAAATTTAATTCTAAACGTAGAATACTTTAGCACATGTCCTAGGATCAATCTGATCGATCCTGTGAGTCACCAAAGTCAAATTTGGAAGATCAGCGCTTGTTTTCCGATTTTCAAGGGAAACAAAATGGCACGCCCAGTGGGACAGTGCTAAATATCCCCGCGATTTAGAATTAAAAGATTCTCATTCACAAGTCTTAATAATCTTCGTAGAAAGTACATTATATGTTACTAAGAAGTGGTAGAATTACCGCTGCTAACGAAGAAAGACGAACAATCCTTAGGAATATGGCGACGGAAATGAACCAGCCAAACAATCCTAACCCACAAGTCCAAGGTTCTGGCGAAGGAACCAGTAACAACATGGTCTCGCCGCCTATACCATCGACAGTAGCGCCTCCCATAAGGTCAGAACAAACCTTCGCCCCAGTAGGATCTGGGACAACGATAGTTAGGCCTTACACACAACCCATATTGGAGTATATTGGGCCCCCAGTGTCGAATCCCCAAACTCCAATAGCAGGACCATCAGTGTCAAGGCAGTTTGCCCCTCTTGGTCTTTCGCAGTTGCCAAGGAATCCCCCGTATGGGATGTCAACGACTGTAATGCAGGGGCTGCAAAATGTGCCCCCAATATTCTCTGAAAACACAATGGCGTCACCTTTGCAAGGATCAGGACCTGGTTCAAACATTGGTCGAAACCCTCAAAGTTTAAGTCTAGGATACTCGACTTAAGGTCCCAATCTAACCAATACGTCTGTTGCCTGTTTGAGGCAGCAGATGGATGAGAGTAACTTACAGATGGTTCAAACCCTCTCCCAGACTATGGGTGAGATCTTTCAGCCATTAATTCGAGACACAACTCGCGCTAACCAACAAATGGTGACACAGTTAACACGCTTGACTGAATTTATAGGGGTACCTCCATTAGAAAGAAACCAAGCCCCTGTGGAGAATACTCCACAACAAATTCCAAGAGTGGTGCCAGAAGCCAATTTAGAGAACCAAGGAGGAATAGGCCCTTACGTTGTCGAAACTCCCAGAGTCCAGGTCGAGAGAAACCCATAAATAGTTATGGTGAATCGAAACCAGGATGCAGACAATGTGGTCCAGCAAGTAAGACGCAACAACATCGCGGTCGAAAACAACTTGGCTACGATGGTAGAAAGAATCATGACTCGAAATGGCCTAAACACTGGGTTTACTAGGCCAAATTATACTTCACCAATAGTCGACTACATCCTTTGAGCGGAATTACCCCCTAGGACTAAGGTGCCTAAGTTTACTAAGTTTTCAGGGGACACAACGGAGTCCACCGTCGAACACGTAGCACGCTATATAATTGAGGCTGGGAGATAGCCAATGACGAAAGCCTTAGGATAAAATACTTCCCAAGTTCTCTTACAAAGAACGCCTTCACGTGGTTTACCACTTTACCACCAAGTACAATATGTAACTGGACGCAGTTAGAACGACTCTTCCATGAACAGTTTTACATGGGCCAGACTATTGTACCCCAAAATTTGACCAACCTCTTTGGCTTATGTTATATTGCATCATTAGCATTAGCATTGCATAACATTTTGCATTCCACAGGGGATCGAGGTATGTGTGTCTAACAAGAAGAATTATCAAGGTTTTTTTTAACCTGATCAAGGAGGTTATATTCAAGTCGTCAAGCAAAGTGATCAGGTCAAGGGTAGCAATGGTTGGAATTCAAGTGAAGTTTGCCCTCATCTTGGACAAACAAGTATTTTACTTGTTCCCACTTCATCAAGGCCATGACAAAGCCAGGTGTTTCATGGTTACAGATTATCAAGATTCAACTCGTTTTCTAATCAGGGTTGGGATAAATTGTTGCAAGATTCACGTGAAGTTTGTCAAGACAGGAGCGTGTACAGTATGGATTGATGATCGTTTTCTGATTCCAAGGCTTTGAGAAATCCAGTTTATGAGGAATGATTATGGTTCAGCTACAATCTAAGTGACGTCAGATCAAGAATCAGATTTTGAGTGTTTATCTTAAATGTAAAGAAACTGAAGATGCAGAGAAGTTGTTTGATGAATTGCCTGTGAGAAATGTTGTGTCCTGGAATATTATGGTTTTGGAAAACAGATTCACAGTCTTGTTCTGAGACATTCGTTTGACTCGGATATTTTGGTGGCTAGTGCATTGATTAACATGTATGCAAAAAATGAAAACATAATCGATGCACGTAGAGTATTCAATGAGATGCCGATTCGAAATGTTGTGGCATGGAACACCATGGTTGTTGGGTGTGGAAATTACGGTGATGGCAAGGAAGTTATGAAGCTTCTCAGAGAGATGCTTCGAGAAGGGTTTCTTCCTGATAAACTGATTATTTCCAGTGTTATTAGTTCATGTGGCTATGCTTTTGCTATTACTGAAACACTGCAATCACATGCTTTTGCGGTTAAGATATTGTGTCATGACTTTTTTATCTGTTGTCAATTCTTTGATCAGTGCTTACTCCAAGTGTGGTAGCATTACTAGTGCATTTAAATGTTTTGAATTAACTTCACAACTTGATCTAGTTACATGGACTTCATTGATATATGCATATGCATTCCACGGACTAGCCAAAGAAGCTACTGAGATGTTTGAGAAGATGCTCTCTCGTGGCATAATACCGGATAAAATCGCTCTTCTCGGCGTTCTCACTGCATGTGGTCATCACGGGCTTGTGACAAAGGGACTTCACTACTTCAAATTAATGACCAATGTGTATCAAATTGGTCCTGATACAGAACATTATGCATGCGTTATTGACCTTCTAGGGAGATACGGTCTTATAAATGAAGCTTTTGAATTCTTGAAGTCAATGCCAATTCAAGCTGAATCAGATACCTTAGGAGCATTTATTGGATCTTGCAAACTACATTCAAATATAGATCTTGCTAAATTGGCTGCAGAAAAACTCTTCATCATTGAGCCAGAAAAGAGTGTAAACTATGCAGTGATGTCGAACATTTATGCTGCACCGAGACATGGGTGTGATGTGGAAAGAGTTCGAAAAATGATGGAAGACTATGTGAGAGATGCTCCCCGGGGAGTAATAGTTCGCAAGGATCAGTCTATTGACAACAAAATTGCCGCTCCAAAAGAAGTTTTGGCTATTGAATATAAAAAGAAACCAGAAGTTGTCTTTAGCTGAGTTGGATGTTTCCAGACTGGATGCCATTGTTAAAACACTGAAAGATACTTCACATTATCATTCCAGTAAATTTGCAGACTCTGAAGTAGCCTTGCTA